TTGCTGACATTTCTTTTTACTGTTTTATAAAAAAATATATTTAATATCTTGAAGGTTAATGTTTTACTGTCTCCATAGTTCCCAACATTTTCCTGTTTTCCATACAGCTGTTACCTGTAAGGCAGTGGCTATAAACCTGACGGTTTATAGCCAGGAAAATATTTTATGCACCTTCCATAACACAAACAGTTCTCCTCATCCTACTTTTACAACAACCACCATCCCTCTTACCGCTCTCTGAAACAACATTCACAGCCATTGTTGTTATATCTTGAATGCAGGCAGCTTGAAATCCTGCCACAGGAGGAGTGCTGTAGGTGCTCAGTCCAGTTGTTTTATTGATGTATATCATCTTACCCAATGAAACATCAAAATCTTGCAGCCAGTCAGAACACACTTCATTCCTGGGATCCCCTGTGCTTGTGTTGTATGCAGAGAATTCCAAGTTACTTAGGAAGGTTGTGTGGGGAGCCTCAGTATCTTTCAAATTTTGTTCGGAGGGTACATCTAATGTACTTTTATCTTTATGGATGGCATCAGTACAATCCTTTTTAGCAGGTAATGATAAAACACTGCTTGAAGGGACTGTGTACTCCTCTTCTATGCTGCTGAGAGGTGATGCACTGACAGTACTTTTCACGGACTCCAGCCTTGTATTGTCCGATTGCCAGCATGCATCCGCCTTAGAAACGCTGTAATTACAGTCCCCCATTGTTTCCACTGAGGATTTATATGTTTGACAAGCATTATATGAAAAATCATTATTTGAAGGTCCAGGAACAAAAGAGTAGTCATCTTTTCTACTTGAATCTCTTGGGAATTGTTCATGAAGTTGTTCTAATTCCTTGTGGTCACCTTTCATTCTGGACAGTTTAGATGACAATGATCCAGGAGATCTTTTACAACTTGTGTGGTTGTTACTAACCTGACAGTAATCAGACAATGTCAAAGGACTCTGATAAAGGGCTTGTCTGTCCTCTGAAGTTGCTCCACTGCAGAATAAAGTATACCCTAAAGAAACAACTTCGCTACTACTATCAGAATCTGTGTCTTCCACAGCTGGAGTTTCACAAGTGCCCAAGTTACCATGATGGTCATTATCATTCCTTGAAAAGTCACAATTAGCTTGTGAATTAAAAACGGGGAGATCAAATTCACTCTGCTGTGACAACGGTGTTGGTAGCGTACACTTGTCCCTCCCATAATATCTCCTGAACTTTTCCAACGAACCTAGCTGTGTGGACAAGCTCAGCTTCACAGAGGGCTGAGATCTTGGCACAGCTATTTGTCTTCTATTGCTTTTTATAACCTTATTGTGAGGAATACCTGAAGAGGTTGCCAGTGGCAATTCTGAAATGTTTGATGTCTCATAATGCATTTTACTGGTGGCAATAGGCACAGCTGCTTCCTTACTCCCTTCTTTTGACAAAGTGTTGTTCTGTAACCACTCACTACCATCAGCTATGCCTACATCCCTGGTGTAAAGAGGTACATATTCTTTATTTGTATTACTGGAAGCATCCTTAGAATTTAAAGACTGCAAATTTACTTTCTGGCCAAACACATCCTTGGCACTGACAGAGCCAGGTCTACGTTGCATGTTCAATGCAAGATTTATTTCTGTTTGTTCACATTCTTGTGGGGGCTCTTTTTGTGTAACACATGTTATCAGGCCTGTAGAGCACAATTTTAATGGTACTGAACTAACAGCCTGTCTTCCAGCATTATCTGTCAAGTCCGCTGTTTCCCTGTCTTCTCTTCTTGCATTGCAGAGCCTCATCAGTGAATTTCCAGAGACAATTCCAGACCCCACTGCTACTTCAGCAGAGTCTCCTCTCTCAGATGACAACTGAGTAACATCATTATTTAAGGTACAGACTTTACTGCTCTTCTGCACTACTTTGCCTTGCTGGCTTCCCATGTCTTTTATGTAATTCTCTGCACAATGCTGCAGGTCATCACAACTGTCTATTTTTCTTATTTCTGACCTGGCCCCTTCACTGAAAGAGGAACAAAGATTTCCTGAAGGTTTCAGATGAGCATCAGGTGCTTTCTGGGAACTGCTAGTGTGTTTTGGCCCCTGCTCTGAGATATCTGATATAAGGAAATCAGAAGCTGTGTCATCTTTGCTGGGCACTGGAATCTCTGCTTTATTGTTTCTGCATGGATCAGATGGTTCATCAATCTTCTGATGTGGGGTGATTTCAGTTTCCTGTAGATTTTTATTTGACTCTATAAGACTTGAAGATTTTTGTCGAGTAAAAGATGTCCTTTTGACATCTTTTGATTGCAAGTTACACATTTCATAGGAATCCACAATTTCATCACATGCTTTCTTAAAACTGTCCTGGATGCTCTTCTCATCAGGGAGTGAGGGCTTCAGAACTGGAGCATTACACAAACTAAAGTCATTATCTTCATTAAATTCTCTGATGTCCTCACTACATGGTTCAATAAATAAATGTTCTCGTTTCAAAAATATTTTCACTCCTTCCTCTATGCAAGTTAGAACAACATCCCAGTTTTGGAACTCAATTAGAGTCTTTCCAGGTTCCAGACACACATCATAGTCACTGTACGCACAGGTCACATTGAGAACAAAGATCCCATACAACTCTGGGCCACAACGGTGGCAACTAGGACTAGCCTGTCTGCTTACAGGGGCACTTTTTGCCTTGCAAATGACACTTTCTTTTCTTAATAAAAAATCAATTAGTTTATGGAGTCTCGTCTTTAAAACGAGCCTTCTATTCACATATAAGAACTGCATATTCTTGTTGTAATGCCCTTCAGTACTGATATAACCATTTATCTCAAATCCCACAGACTTATGATTTATTTCTCGTAACTTCCGGGATCTGCCAAGTCCATAAATTTGACAAAACCGTGAATACACATCTCTTGTCTTAGGTAGCTGAAGCACCATAGAACAAGAAACGTCATTCCTTAAAGACAGTGAAATAGAGGGATGCATCAGTGAAATAGCCTCTACTTTCTGCCTCACTCTCTCAAACTCCAACACAGGATCCATACACTTCCTCCTTACTGGTAACTGATGGAACAGATCACACACAGTGACTGTAGTTCCACCACTTGGTCTGCTCAATTCAGCTTCACAGACTTCCAGTGCTTGCCCATTGTGAAAGAGTTTCACAAATGTTTTTGCTGTCCTGCTGGTCTTAGATGAAACTTCCACTATGCTGGCCACATTGGCTATGCTTGCCACAGCCTCCCCTCTAAAGCCGTAGAACGTCAGCTTCTCCAAGTCTCCCACTGATTTGCATTTGCTGGTGAAGTACCGCTTTCCCATTGCATTTAAGTCCTCTCTCCCCATCCCAGAGCCGTTGTCCACCACCTGGACCTTAAAAGCTTCCAAATCCACCCTTATAGCTACGCATGTTGCATTGGCATCAATGCTATTGAGGACAAGCTCCTCAACACACTGCCCCAGTGAGCTGACAGTCATTCCAGAGCGCAGCCTGGCTCGCACATCTTCCACCAAACGTTCGATCATGACATCAGACAGATGAGGAACTGAAGAAACTGCAGAGAGCTCACTCTTCCGTGTTCCTTAAAACAACAACCTGCGAAGGGAAAAAAACAAAGCAAAAAATAGAAAAGCCTGAAAAAACTTTAATTTCTTGCATTGCCCTCATAAATACACCTTTCTCAGTTTCCCTGGTATTTTGAGGCTTTTTTGATGACTACTTTCCTGTTTAGGCTTTGACCACATACTGCTGGTGCCTTCAGGCTCAATGGCCAGAACACCATGTCTATGCCCCCTACTAACAACATACTTGATTCTCAAACTTAATATACCCAATCTCCAACCACGATGAGGCAAAACTCAAAGAACCTGCAAGCAAAAGGCTTCTGCTTCCATTTATATCAAAAATACAGAGTAAGCATCACCAAGAACTGGGCAGAAAGCTGCCTTCCTCTCATTTGTACCTCAATGTCCACAATGCCTCATTCTGGCGAAGGAGCATCTGCTGCAACTTGTCTAAGATACCAACAAACTGCGCTTGGGAATGGGTGCGGGACGCTGAGCAAGCTGTTTATGAGAAAGGGAACCTGCTATTTTCCAGTCCTTGATGCCTACTGGTTTCCTAGTGGTATTCGAGGGACACACCACTCTTCTCGCACCCCTCACGCAGAGCTCCCCACGCAGCTTTGCAAGTGCTGCAGGCCCTCTCCAGGGACCTGGTGCTCCGTCTGTGACAGCACCCAGATTCCCTGGCCCCGGGAGGGCAACGACCCCCCGCGCCCGGCTCGCTACCACACGCTGTCCCCGCGGCGTGCAGGAGTAGCGGCCGCTGCCGCCCTGCCCTTCCCACAGCCTCCCGCTCCGCTCTCACCCCCTCAGCTCCCGCCAGCCTGAGGGCGGGCGGCCCCACCAAGAACCGCTGCGCGAGACCAACCGCCGCGGGCTGCCGGGCTCCCGCACGCGGGTCCTGCAAGAGGCCAACAGCCAGTGACGGTCCGGGCCAGGGAGCGCATGCGCGGCCGCGGAGCCGGAAGGCTGCGGAGAGCTGGGACCCGGCCGCGCGGTGGATGCTGGGAGATGTAGTTGCCGGGTTCCACCGCGGTCGCAGACAGGGAAACGGCACCGTCCCCCTACGCCCCTTAGAGCGGCGGCTCGTGACACCGGGTACTGTCAACGGGATGACAATCCAAGGGCTGCGACCCACTCAGCCTGCACATTCCACACAGGAAACATGCTCGAAGCAGCTTTATTCTAAAGAAATAAACTCTGGAACAAAGTAAATTCTTTCTAAGGCATTCAGAGCACAAAATAACATCTTTCAGCAACTCCCATGCCGTCCTTCATGCAAGCACAACACTGCACAGATGTAAATTTTGCCCAGGTACAGCCACTGAAAACCAGCACTGGAAAGACAGAACGAGAGGTTGTGCCATGAGGCAGCCCCTTCAGTAAAGAAAGCCCACTCTCCTCCACCTGCCAAAGCTTTGTGAAAGGCTGAGAGTTAGACTGAGAGTACAACAAGCCAATAAATTAGAAATTCAATAAAATAAAAGTTCTCCAGAGATTAAAACTGCCTGAATAAGTACAGGTGTTGTGAGAGCAGCTCATGATCCAGATTTTGCTTCTTCCTGGACAAACCTAATTCACGATCTGGAAGTTGTCGTGCTCCAGCGCCTCAATCTTCTTCTCGTTCCTGAACTCTGCTCGGCTGATGCGGGACTGGGGACTTCCCGTCTTCCTGAGCCATTCCTGCAGCTCCCGCACCCTGGCAGCTGGGCCCTGAACTTGCCCGTGCACAGTGCCATGGCTGGTATTTTGGACCCAACCAACAAGGCCGAGCCTCTTAGCCTCCCCCTGAGAAAACAACACAGAGCAAAAGGAGATTAATCCAAACTGCGAGAAAGCGACAGGACGTTCACCTCCAGGAATTCATGCTACAGATGCAGTCCCCTGAGGAGTTTCCTACAGCTCAGGCTGCAGGGAAGCAGCAGACCATTCAGTCAACTCCTCACGATATTATTCCACATTAAAAGCTGGGGCTGAAACACACTTTTCAGTCGTGCTTCCATAACGCAGCACAGGCTACCAGCAGCGCTGACAGACGACAGCCCCTAGCCCCAACGCCTCCTTACCCCGCCACAGAAGCAGCCAGGGCCCATACCGTGGCGACGGCCAGGCCCCGACAGAGGAGTGCACTAGCACCCGGTTGACAAGCACAGGAAGGAGCGGGCCGTGAGACCGCGCCACGCACCTGAGTGTACTTTCGGAAGAAAACGCCCTGCACCTTGCCGAACACCTCGTAGTCCACGGAGAGCAAGCCCTCGCCATCCGCCATGGCGCCTACACCACCATCAACCTCCACCTCCTCCAGCGGCAGCCGCAACTGCCGCATAATCCTCTGCGCCGGCGCGGAGCGGCCGGCATTGGGGGCGTGGCCTCGCTGTCCCTTCGGACCAATAAAGAGCCAGGGTCGGTCCCTTCTTAAACCTCCTCATGAATTATGCACTCCTGCTCGCCCCGCCCCCTTCCCCCGCCAGCCGCTCCTGCTCGGCCGTAGAGGCGGAGCTCTCAGAACCGAGAAGCCATCGGGAGCCCGCCCGCGGGCCAGAGCTGCGCCATGAGCTGGTCCCCGCGCGCACTGTGTGCGGGCCGGACGCGGGCTCCCCGGGTCCCTGCGGTGGTGTCAGGACTCTAAGCGGGGTGGGTGGCAGCGCCGAGGGTCCCGCGGAGCGCTCAGCCCCACGGTGTGTGAGGGCACCTCATGCTCCCCGGGGGATGTGGGAGAACGAGCCACAGGAAGACTGGGCTGAGCTTTACCCGATAGTGCCTGTCAGAGCCACACTGACAGCTCTACAGTGCCAGAACTGAAGGCATGCGTTATGGGAAATAGCAACGCTCCCCGAAGGTGTTTCTCTGGCGGTACAGCATACTTCAGCTGCTACTAGGGTAAGGCAGGGCTCACACAGAAAGTAAAATACAATCATACGTTATTTCTGGCTGCATAAGCAATTGGGACTGGCATCATGGGAGCTTGCTAGATGGAAGGACTGTAAAGATTTACAGAATCCAGAAGAGTTACAAAACCTTTGCTAATATTTATCATAGCCTCTCATTGTAGCTTCCAGGTATAGACTGTTGGGGAAAAAATTGTCCAGTTTTGGAGAAGATAGTCTGTAATGACTTTGCTTTTAACCTCAGGCTCTTTCTCAAGCACTGAACAGCTTGGTCTCCACCAGTGGATTCTGTGAGGGCAGCTACTAAGCTTGTTCCTGTTTCCCAGCTGGAACACCAGAAGAGCAACTTTCAGCATAAACTCGTACCTGGCAAAGAGGAAGGTTTAAAGGATCTCTATGCCTGCAAGAGCCAAAAATATTCCTATTCTCTTGCCCCAGAAAACAGTCAATACAGATCCAAGCACAGAGATTTCTGTTTAGGTGAACTGCAGAACACCAGCCAGACCAGCACTCCACCATCTAGATCAGTAGCCAGGCGGAAAGGGGTGGACCGTGCATATCCCCCGAAACCAACTGTTCACCAGCAGGGTATGAGAGTTCCAGTGGTCAGCACAGCACAGTTTGGAAGTGCCCCATACACGGAGGAAGCTGCAAACAGCAGCCCTAGCTCAGTGAGCGAAGGGGGGTATCAACAAGCTGCAGTGCTCTTTCCTTGGCCAGCAGAATCTAAACAGTCAGCGTCCCCATACAGGGGGCAGCTGCCCTACATTCAAAAGTTGGAGGCAGATGGACGGAAGCTGGAAAAGAAAATCCAAAAGCAAAAGGCCCTCCTCAGAGAGAAGCTGGAGAGAACAAAGGAGTCACTTAGGAGGATTCAAAGAAAGAAATAGCTTGCTGAGACAGGGAAGAGAAGGTACCTGGAAGTGGAGAGGACCCATAAGCAAATGGCTGCAAAGTACCCTGAAGAGAGTCTTCAGAGGTGCAGCCAGGCCGGACGATGGGGTCTTGCATGGGGTGCAGTCTGCAGAGGCTGTTATCCTCAAGCCTGGCACCACCCTCTGCCCCTAGGAGCTGGCTATGGGGAAACACAAGAAGGAGAGGCTGGTAGCCAGCAACAGCAAAATTCAAGGCCACATACCAATGGAGCATTTAGCCTCTTGCTCAAAGCCAGCCCCAAAATGTGGCTCTTCTCGCTCTGCCATCTCGGAGCAAGTTTCTGGTAACCATCCATCCACAAAGGTGCTATGCATGCAGGCTGGCAGTGCTGTGGAGCAGGGGAAGTTTGGACAGTGCAGCATCTGTGAACCTAACTTCCTCTGCACCAGGCTTGAGAAGCATGTAAGTATCTGCAGCAAAATCCAAGGCTCCAGGAGGAAAGTGTTTAACTGCAGCATGGTCAGAGCTAAAGGCACAGAACTGGAAAAGTAACAGCAGCTGAAGGACTCGGAAGGGCCTGAGGTAACATGCAGTCCTTTTGCCTCCCCTGATCCACACCTACTGCTCACATTCCTTCTACCCCCATATCTAATTCTGATGAGAGGCAAGTGCCTTCACATGTACACAAGGCTAAGGGATACAATGCAGTTATTGAAATGTTCTTGCCAAATGGATAAATAAATCCATTTTAAATCTAACAGATAGGGGGCTGGGGTCCTAACTGACTTGTCTCTGTAATGCGTCACAGGTGTACTCCCGGATAAGGCTCATTCCTTGCTGTAGTCAGGATGCAGACTGGGTCTGCTGCAGTAAAACTCTGTGGCATGCACGGAACTGACTGAAAACGCAGGTAGTAACACAGGGTGTGAAAAGGAAGGCAACGGAAACATGCATCTCAGTTTCTGCAAAGCAGCTATAGCTACCCTTTCTGATTCCTTGGCCTTGCTGCTTGTTTTTCTGGCTATACTCAAGCTCTTTCCAAGTATTGATGCCTCTCTCAGTATTTCCTTCAAATCCTCCTTGGTGATGGTCTTTTTGTTCTCCAGTGTAGGACTCAGCTTCTCAGGAAGTGTTTTACATCAACGGGGAATGCCCAGGGATGGGTGGCCTGGGTTGGGCCCCAAATGTAAGACTGCGAATGGAGGCTGATGGTGGTGCCAGTTGCTCTGACTGCCTTTCCCTTCTGCAGAGCAAGCCACCCAGAAAGAACGGCTGGAAATAGAAGCATGCAGTTCTCATCCAGACCATGCATGAGGTGTGTGAGGTGCCACAAGTACTCGGCAAGAGAGAGATGTCTGAAGTCCCCCCATTGCCTCCCATCAAAAACCCAGATTATGTTTCCCTGCCCCAACTGTAGATGCTGATTGTCTGCTTGTATCTGGTGATTCTGCTTTTTACTGTATTAAACTAGTTCTGTTGTGGAAAAGTTATTTTCAAATGATCACAAGAGTAGTTTGTTTATTCTTAGAATCATAGAATAGTTAGGGTTGGAAAGGACCTTAAGACCATCTAGTTCCAACCCCCCTGCTGTGGGCAGGGACACCTTACGCTAAACCATATCACCCAAGGCCTCGTCCAACCTGGCCTTGAACACCGCCAGGGATGGAGCATTCACAGCCTCCCTGGGCAACCCATTCCAGTGCCTCACCACCCTAACAGTAAAGAATTTCCTCTTTCTATCCAATCTAAACTTCCCCTGTTTAAGTTTTAGCCCGTTACCCCTTGTCCTATCACTACAGTCCCTAATGAAGGGTCCCTCTCCAGCATCCCTATAGGCCCCCTTCAGATACTGGAAGGCTGCTATGAGGTCTCCACGCAGCCTTCTCTTCTCCAGGCTGAACAGCCCCAGCTTTCTCAGCCTATCTTCATACGGGAGGTGCTCTCCAGTCCCCTGATCATCCTCGTGGCCCTTTTCTCTGGACTTGATCCAAGAGTTCCATGTCCTTTTTGTGTTGAGGACACCAGAACTGCACACAGTACTCCAGGTGAGGTCTCACAAGAGCAGAGTAAAGGGGCAAGATCAGCTCCTTCGACCTGCTGGTCACGCTCCTTTTGATGCAGCCAAGGAAAAGTAAAAATGAACACTTTGTATGAGAAAGTTGCAACAGGAAGCAAACCTGGAACAAAAAAATTCCATCAGCTCCATTTGCAAGTCCTTCAGTCACGCAGCAGCAGCAGCAGCTCCTGGGAACCTAGAAAAGATCAAACACTACTAAACTGGACTAGCCAGAAGCTGAGCACGAAGAAACACTCCAGCCTTCAGTGGAGGGACCTGACTCCTGAAAACAGTCGGAGAGCTTCTGTCCTATAAATACGTGCCCTTAGCACACCCTAGAAAAGTGTGAAGGTCCCAGAAAGGGTCAGTGCTGCCCTGTGCCAGCCAGGTACGAGTGTACAAACCAAGAGAGCAGTACAAACTGGCTCAGCACAGATATTTATCCTGCCACTTAGCCATCATGGTTAGTGTTCCTTGGCACTACTCAGCCTATGTTGTTCAAACCAGCTCAGCTTCCTCTTCTGTTACTGCAGTACAATCCCCCTCTCATAGACATGCTGCATTTTCAATCCAAATCTCTGGTGAATTTTAAGTCTTTAGCCCAGCTTTGCCTCTCAAGACATTTCAATACTTATTAGAAGCCCCAACAAAAAGTGAGAAGTGACAGACATCAAATATAGGAACAGTGGGCTGAGTAGGTGTCAGGCATGTTCTCCGTTCTGTAGGCCTTAATGCTTACTAGAAGCTGTTGGAGAGAACAGGTACTTTTTCCCTTTGAAGCTCTTTCTTCCTGTTATTCATTTCCCACTTGGCACTCACACTGTTGAAATAAACACACACACAAGAACTCCCTGATGTCACTAGGAAGAGATGCTGCAGCAAGAGAAAAGAGTTGCTGTGTTGTTTGGTTGGGCTTTTAATGAAGGGACACAAAACCTGACATTTTTTCCCATAGCAAAGACACCTGCACACAGGAGAATGAGATTAAACATTTATTTAAACAGAAACTCCAAACCACTCCACCCTTTAACCTTAAAAAACAAAACAAAACAAAAACCGACAATGACAAACTAGTTTTCAGCCAGTGTCAAAGCAGGCATAAATTGTGTTCCACTGAAACAACTCAGTAGCAATACTAGCAGGAGACCAACATATAGGGAGCTAGCACTGCAAGAAGGGGAGAAGTAAAAAGCGTTTGAAACTGCTCAAAAGGCACTTCTGCTCACTTGCCCTTCTATTTCCAGCCCAAGACAAAGGTGCTGCTTTAAACTGCTTTTTTGGTTGCATAGCTGGCTGGTGTGAAATCTGTGGTCTGTAACAGGCACAACCTGGATAGCGTGAATCCTCTAAGGCACATATGAGCTTGCAGAGCACAGGGCATCCTCCGTCAGGAACCCTCATCCTCCACTAGATCCAAAGGGAATCCAGTCTGTGCACCTAGCTTCCCAACTGCAGAGCATTGAGAAATGAGGATAGCAGTGCACTTGCAGGAGAGCGACTCCCATCAGCTTGATGCTTGCTTACTGGACATGGCTCACGCTCAACTCTTCATTCCTCAAAGGCACTGCCACAACATGACCAACTCCATCATTTCCAACTTCAACAACTCTCAGGCCGGGACCCTGACCTGGGAACTGGCTCCAATGCACACAGCAGAAAAGAGAGCAGAGTCTCAAGGCCAACAGAGCGGCATGGCCGGGCAAGGACACCCAATGTTCACCACCCCCCAGGAGGGCTGTCCTCCTGCCCTGCCTTCAGTAACAACGGATGGGCACACAGGTACGATCCTTGCTCTGGACACTGCATTGGAGAGACTGCAATTGATTCAGCTTCAAGATACTAGCAATAGGCACCAAAGAAGTATTTAAGGAGGGTAAGTTAAAAGCAAATAGCTCGGCATCCACCTCTAGAGACAAATGGGGAATGCTGGCATTCCTGGAACAGTCTCCCGAAAGAAGCAGTCCTGGAGAGGTGAAAGCATATCCAATTGCAACAGCCCTGAAGCAATTCTAGTGACATGTCACCGATGGGGACAGTCTCATGAAAACCACTCTCACAGCGAAGGTGAGAGGTACTCAGGACTCCTTAGAGGCTCCACATAAGGCAGGGGAGGCTAGCTGCTCCCAGGTATCCTACTAAGCCCATAAGCTTACTTCGAAGTCAATCTGCTAATACATTTCAGGGGAGCAAAACTTAACCTCATTTTCTATCAAGAAATGAGGAAATCTTGATCATCAGACCATGGCTCTTCCCATATTCAAGTTTCCTGGGAAACCCTCTCGCTTCTAGAAAGAAGGTGAATTCCAGACAGAGACTTGATCATTCATGGTCACTGGGGTAGGCTGCATCCTGTGACTACGGCATTAATGACCTATTCTGGGTAAGAAACTGCATTCCAGCTTCATCAAAACACTTGAGTGGACAAACACCGATTCTTCCCACACCCACACAGACTGTGGGCACCAGCGGCTGAGCAGAACAGAAGCCAAGCAGGGAGCAGCTACAGGCTTAGGCCAAGAAACCAGAATGCTCTGCCACCCAAACCAAGCTGAACAGCTGGAGAAAGAAAGGGATGACTTCGTCTGAGGCCCAGCCACTTGTCACCTGGTTGGGAAGCAGGCAGTCTGAGAGCTAGAGATCCCATCTCAGACAGTTCCTGTTACTGCTATTGAAAACGACACGATTCACACATCTCGCTGCATTACCCAGAAGGTGGAAAGCTCTAGGCTCCCAGAATAAAGCCTTTAAACTCTGTCTATACAGGCCACTAGAAACAGCCACATGGCCAGAAGCTGTGCCTCATGGCCAGGGACACGGTGGCTACCATTATCTCCCTAAGAGGAAGATCTCCACTGCTTCCAGAATGAGAAGTTCTCTGCCCCCTCTGCCCCTCAGCAGAGGGGAGCAGTCTCACCAGCTGGGCCTTACCATGTGGTCAGGAGAGGATCCCAGTCCTTCACCCCTCTGAAGCGAAGGTGGCAAGTCTTAGGGTTCAGCCATCTTAAGTACAAACCATGTCTCCTCCTCTCATCTAGAGATGCAGTGATGAATACAGGGGTCCCAAAGGCAGCTCCCAGGAAGCAGTGAAACAACGAAAGGGCCACAAGCCACTACTGGAGCCATCGCCATAATGGGGCCATTTTGCCTCATGTGCAGTTGACAGATAAGGTACAAAGAGGAGCTGCTGCTGCTTCAATCACTGAGCTGGCCTAGAGCTCAGCGGCCTTTCCCCTCTCAAACTCAGTCCTAGTTCATATCAGACGTACATGGGTGCTGCCCTGGAGCCTCCAGCCTCGCTCCTTGCCTGCGAGTGACCTGAAGCCAGGAAAGCCGCTCTCTGCATTCGGTTAGTGTGCTGTGAAGTTAGATGAATCCCAGTGGGCTCAGGAGACTAGAGGCTGGAGCGGCACGAGTCCGTTCCCAGGAGACACCAGGAATCTGAATCCAAGTCAGGTTTTGGATCCACTTCCATCTCCTCTTTGGCTGTCTGCGTTCCTCTGGAATGAAACTCCACCTGCCAAACACACAGCAGTTATCCAAACAGCTCTAGGACTAGCTGCAAAGAAGCCAGGAGCCATACATGGCACAGTTACTGTTCTCCACAGCCATTTGGGACTCTCCGCATCTGACTACTTGTCCTTTCTCATGTGGAATAAGAAAGGGGGATCCCAAGTCCCTCAAGAGCTGGGCTCTCCTCACAGGAAACTGTGGTCTTGACTTCATTCCTCTAGCTACTACCAGAGCTTGCATCAGCAGCTCTAATAAGAGACGGGCACCATGTTCAAGCCCCCCCTTTCTGTTCTAAGAAAGACATTTCTTAAGAGCTGCTTCCTTCTGCACAGCCTCCACAATCTACGCACAAGCAGTGAGCCCAGAGGAGTCCTCACCTGCTGCATTCCCTCTGTCCTGCTGCAGAACTGCTGGAGCTGGGCACTTAGACGAACGGTTTCCTGCTGCAGCTGCTTCTGCTCATCCAGACACTGTAAGACCAGGGCTCGGAGGTGAGTCACCTCCACCTGCAGAGCACTGCACATGCAGCCCGCAGCAGGAGGTGCAGCCTTCCCTTCACTGCACGGCAAAGCTGGACTCAGGCAAGTAGGCTGCAGAGACAGAGGGAAGTCAGGCCAGTGGTGAGTGCCACTAACGTCCTCCTTCTTCTGAGAAAGCTGCTCCTGTACTCCTACAACCAACACCCACCTGGTTTACCACCCTTTTGCTAAGCTGGGGGGGATCTGTTCTCTTGGGACAGAAATCTCCTGGAATAAGATAGTGTCACAGGTTGTAATTTCTCAGCAGTTTCCTATTATTAGTTCTCACAGCAATGGCTGCTTTCTATATTTCTCTTCTGTTAGGGGTCTGGG